AAAAAGATTTAAAAAAGTCAGCAACCAGGGCTTCCCTGGTAGTGCAGGGGTTAAGAATCCGCCTGCCAATGCAGTGGACACGGGTTCGAGCCCTGGTCCGGGACGATCCCACATGCCGCGGAGCAACTAAGCCGGCGGGCCGCAACTACTGAAGCCCGCGTGCCACAACTACCGAAGCCCGCATGCCTAGAGCCCCCGTGCTCCGCGACAAGAGAAGCCACCGCAATGAGAAGCCCACGCACCGCAACAAAGGGTAGCCCCCAGCTTGCTGCAACCAGAGAAAAGCCCGTTCACAGCAACGAAGACCCAACGCAGCCAAAAATAAATAAATTAAATAAAATAAATTTATTGAAAAAAAAAGTCAGCAACCAGTTATAAATTAAGTTTTGTTTAAAGGAAAAATGGCTAGTGTTTAAATGGTAAACACTGTTCGTTAAAGTATTTAGAAGTCATCACTGAGTCTTGTGACCAATTTCAGTCCTTTAAAAAGCCAAGTTCTATGTCATGGCAAAAATTCAGACCATTATCTATAATATTTGTGTTTTAAATCAGGTGAGTATCAAATTAAATTACACAAAAAAAATTTTAGATGTTTACTTTTAATAATGCCTAAAGAAAAATGTTTTTCTTCATAGGTGTGTGAGCTTTACTTCTCTGTATAATCTGCTGAAGACAAAACTTTGCCCCTATTTCTACGTTTGTACCTATCAGTTTACTATCCTGTTCCGTGCAGCGGGATTAGCAGGAGATGATGTAATCACGGCTCTCATCTCCCCTACAACTAGAGGTATAAGAGAAGCTATGAAAAACGAAGGTAAAACTATAGGTTTAAAGTGAGAATACCACACTATATAGTAAACACTCCTTAAAATCAAAAATTTGAACTGTCTTTTAGCAGTTGAATTATCTTCTACCAGTTTTACCTAATTGTTTTAAGAATTATTCATTTTTTTGATTTTTTTTCCAGCATTTAATTAAGCTGTCCATTGTACATAGCTTTAAGTTGTGTTCCCTTCTCTGATCTCTAAACATATATCAAGCTGGAATGTCCCAATCTGAATGTACTCCTATAGAAATTGTTTTATAATACAAATTATCTACCCCCTTTTGATAAAATGATCTTTAAAGAGGGTCACTTCATTAGTGGGTCATGAAATCTATTCAGTGGACTCATTCAGCACCTTATAAAAAAATGAAATAGAGTAGTATATACTTGATGAAAGAGTACCACATGTAGTGAGACTGTATTGTCCTGAACCATTTGTTTCAAGGAGATATGTGTTGTGAGCTGCCGTCAAGAAAGCATGAAAACTACTGCTTTAATACATCAGGAGTAAAAGCTCATTTTCAAGTATACTCTCTACAAGTCGGGCACGCCTGTGAATTAATTCCTTCAGATTATATTAAAACATAGTTACATTTTTCTTTTCTCATGTAGGTATTGAATTTTCTTTGCCTTTAATAAAAGAAAGTGGCCATGAGAAGAGGAAAGCGTCTGGAACAAGCTTGGGACATGGGGAGTATGTGATTAAAATAGCCTTTTACATCATCTGGTGACTTATGGATTCAGTGTAGAGGAAACAGCTTTAGGAAATGGGAACCCTGACTAACTATAGCAATTTCCTAGGGAGCAAGCAGTCAGTGATGAGGATGAAGAAGAAAGTTTTTCCTGGCTGGAAGAGATGGGTGTGCAAGATAAAATTAAAAAACCAGATGTACTTTCTATCAAGCTGTATCCTTCAGTTGCTGTTAACTAGAATTTATTTTCATTGAATTAAGTTAGTGAGCAATGTAATTTTTTTTTTTTTGGCCGTGCCACACAGCATGCGGGATCTTAGTTCCCTGACCAGTTGCCCCCTGCAGTGGAAGCGCAGATTCCTAACCACTGGACCGCCGGGGAATTCCCTTGAGCAATGTAATACTGACAGTTTTATTTAACTATAATCTTATACTATCTTTAAGATATTAAAACTGATACTCCATCATGACATTAAAAAACCCCTAAGTACCAAAGAGCCATGAACAATTATTAAACTTTTTTAAGTGAAAATATTCTATTTTGGTTAAGTTTATGGGGGGACTGGAACATATTTTGACTAGAGAAGAAATCAGTTTTTGTTAGGTATCAATTTCTGGCTAATTCAGATGGTCAAAAAAATCATTTTGATCATTCAGATGCCTTATAATTGCAGTGAAGAGGATTAGCAAGAGCATTTCCAGTTTGGAGTGGGGGAAGAGGGTTCCAGGTGATTCAGGATTAAGATAACTGCTGTTCCTTTTGGTATGGGATTTGCATTTGCAGTTTCCTTGATTGTCATGTTCAGGCGTAAAGAGATACATGAAGTGCAAATGGATCACAGACCCGAGTCTGTTGTGTTGGTGAAGGGAACGAATACCTTTACATTGCTAAATTTTTTGATCAACTGTAAGAGTTTAATTGCTACCTCAGGTCCGCAGGCAGGACTTCCACCAACCCTCTTATCACCTATAGCTTTCCGAGGCGCCACAATGCAAATGCTTAAGGTAATAAAGAGAAAAAAAAAATTCTACACTAATCCTCATAACCTAGCTTTTAAAGACATACTTTTCCTTTTTTGATAGGATCAATTCTTGGTATTTTAGTAACTCCTGATATTTTTACATGGTGCATATTTTCTTTTTCTTTACTCCCAGTAAAAAAATTCCTTGATATAAAGTGATTATCCAAGGAATTATATGAAAAGTTATATTTGAATTATTGCCATAAGGAAAAGTTGCTTTCTTAAAGTTTGTCTTTCATAACCAGTGAAAGAACAGAGCCAAGAATGTTACGTTAAATTATAGGTGGTCTCAAAAACTGGATCATGGATAAGTGAAAAGAATAACTATATATCCATATTGTTGAAGAATTACACATGTAATTTTCATGTGTGTCACATATGCTGAATGTAATAGCAACAGACTCTAATTTTTATTTTCCTAATATTATGCATTGAAAGTGCATTAATCAGAAAGGATACCATATTAAAGTTACATTCTCTAGAATTAACACTTAAATTGACAGCCTCATAATTTGGAGGAGAGAATGCTGGAAACAGAATTACTGAACATTTTTTACTCATGTAACATTCTTCTGATATCTTATGAACTACTTTTGTTCCTTAACTGTTAAAGAGAGGAATACCCAAATGAGAAGTTATTGATCACATTTTTAGCTAGGGACAAAAGCTTGAGATGACCATAATTTTCTTTAAATTATTTTTGAAGGCGCGAAGTGTAAACGTGAAGACACAAGCTCCTTCTGGATACAGAGATCAATTTAGTTTGGAGATTACAGGTCCTATCATGCCTCATTCTCTACATTCTGTGACTATGCTACTCAGATCTTCACAGAGTGGGTCATTTTCTGCAGGACTGTATACACATGAGCCAACTGCTGTATTTAATATCTGCCCACCAAAGGATAAAGTACTGGGTAAGGTAAGTAGACAGCTGGTAAACAAATTTAGTTGCAGTTTTCTCAAACTAAATGGATGGAGGAAGTCAGTCATTTAAGATGAGCCAAGCTGGTGTTTCAAGTTATTAAACTGTACTGCTTAATATTATCAATTACAATTACTAAGAGGGAAGGGATAATGACTATAAAGTTTTGTGTGTGAGGTAAATTTTATGAGTTCAGGCTGGTGTATTCAACACTGACTAAAGAACTTCCCAAACAAAAGGCAAGTTGTTTTCATTGTCCTCTCAGATCCAGAACCTAATAGTGCCTGCTTACTTACTGTGGGGGCGGGGGCAAATAAATAACTATGGGTGTTTATTTAGCCGCATAGGCCTTTTTTTCTATAGAACTTTTTCTTAGATTCGGGGAGGGATGAGCTGCTTGTTTCACGTGATCCAGCAGTTTCTAGATATGTATCCACACTTTAATAATACTGAAGTAGCTGCTTTACAACATAACTGCCTTTAATTTTGGACACATGGCTTTTTACTTAGAGGTAATGAGACCTTTAAAACTATTTTTATCCGTTTGCCAGACTTATAAAAATAACCAAACTTATTATTTTTGGATGCTGTCATGCAAAAATTCTTAGGATGAGCTTCTATTGATAATGATAACAATGAATTTGCCCTTACTGAATAAGGCATCTATTTGTCAAAGAGCCCATGGTAATTTTAAAAACTCATCAGTGTTCAAGGACTCTGACAATGCTTTTTACTGACTTGCATACAAATTTCCACAGGAGGCTGTTCATGAGGAGCTTGCCAACTGTGGACTGCACCCTAAAACTCTGGACCACCTTAGTCAAACACCGATACTGGGGCAATCATCTTTACGGCATGTGGCAATGAGTGACTACATTTATAATTGGAGATCCTGAACACCAAAGTAAGCCTAAAAGGAATCTTTGAGGAAAAAAGCCTTCTAGCAAGGAAATTCAAGATACTTATATCTTTGGCTTTAAAGTTCACTTTGGAAGTTTAAAGGAATATAGCTTTAAAAATACTCAAATGTTCACAAACATTGGCCTTTTACAATACTTTTATTACATGCACTAAGCAGTAAATAGGATTAAGGTTTCAAAATCAACATTTGTTTTTACTCTTTTGATTAAATATTCAGATATGAAGATAAACTTTTTAAAAACTTCAAAAACCGGGCTTCCTTGGTGGCGCAGTGGTTGAGAGTCCGCCTGCCGATGCAGGAGACATGGGTTCGTGCCCCGGTCCGGTTGGATCCCACATGCCGCGGAGCGGCTGGGCCCGTGAGCCATGGCCACTGAGCCTGCATGTCCGGAGCCTGTGCTCCGCAACGGGAGAGGCCACAACAGTGAGGGGCCCGCGTACCGCAAAAAAAAAAAAATCAAAAACCTTGAATGAAAATTCTAGATCCATTAACCTAATTATAAATTGGATAGAAAACTGAGTGTTTCCTTGCAAATGGAAGTTGAGGCTTAGTATCAATTATCTCATGCCATTGTGACTAACAGCATCAGGGCAAAACTATCTTTAACAATTTCCTGAGGATTATTAGCAAGTTCTAGTTTTATAAAGGTAGAAAACAAATGTAGACAGTATCTACTGAGCTGATTGTTGACGCTTCCACCTTAGTTGTTTTCCTACCTGTTTACAATTCCTCTATTCTCAATACATATTACTTGTTTTAATGCATGTTAACTCAGATAAGGGTATTTTGTATTCCACATAGAATAGGGTTAAGAGTTGTAAAGTATGCTCAGCTGTCATGACAAAGTAGTATTTAATATGTTCTTGTAGGTATTTGTGTATGTGTGTGTATATATATAATTCAAATTTTCTTAAATAAAAGTGCTTAGAAATCAAAAGCATTGGGTAAAGAAGTAACAGTAGTGAAGACGTATGTGTTCACTTTGTAATCCAGAAAATAAAACACCACATTTATTCCAGAGAAGTTTATATTTGGGCCTTAAGCTTTTGAAAATAAAGTTTAGAGACATAGCATATGAATACCACTGTAATACACATGAAATATTCTATCAGACCCTAAAAATTAACATAAACTTAAACTTTCTCATAGTCAACAAAATAGTGGCTGGGTGCCCATTTTATTAGATAAGTTGGTTACAGCATTTTAATTATCATTTTACGTCTATCTAGGTGTAGCTGAAATTCAAAATGCACATCAAAGTAAAACTATATCACAACTCAATGCCATACTAAATGTACTTGGCCTCTGCAGTAAAATTCTAGTCAGACTTCATTTTAACTCCCTTCTCATTCAGTGGCCCAAGTGGCTTTTGACAGAAACGTAGGACTTAGTGCTGATCATCACACAACATACCACTTTCTTTTTTTTATAACCTCTACAAAATTTAAAGGGGATACGGTGGCGTTAGCCCTGTGGAACAGATCTTGCTTGATTACCTCAATAACACTGGCCCAGTATCTGTCCAGCAGAACCCATTGTGAACTAGTACAAGGTGCACAGCCCTTCACTGATTACAGGCAAGTGTTACAGCAGCCTAGCCATAAGTAAGGGGAGTTGACATCATAGTACAAAATACAGTATAAAAGCGTTATTTAACATTCCACACTGAAGATTATGGATGCCTTCAAACAATCGTTTGGATGTTAGCCACTTAAACAAATACATCACTAAGGTAAACAATATAAACATACCAAAACCTTGTATGGTTAAATACAATTTCCATGGTACAAAAATCAAAGCCTGGAGATGTTTGTACAGATTGCTTTTTACACAATGTCTTAAATTGCCAAATATTTACAACATTAAAGAGGAAATACATTTTGATGCAGAGTAAAATTATCTGAAATGATTAATATAAAACCTCAATCTATCTACGTGAGGCACTCCTGAAGCAAGTGGCATTAGCCATGAGGTCCTTTGGTACAAGGCCCATTGCTTGAAGAACCACAGTAGCTGCTGTGGCTTTAGCATGCTTCTTATTAGGGCTGGCAAAGCTGGGCTGGTAAGCGCTTCCATTTATCAATACCTATTCAAGAAAAACATACAATTGGGCTGGTAAGGGCTTCCATTTCTCAATACCTATTCAAGAAAAACATACAATAAGAACAGCATCAAACTTTAATATCTATTAGCTTTGTAATTTTTTCACTAAATGCTAGAAAGATAATTTACAAAAATATAAAACCCATACCAAGTCAAATAAATCTCAACCCTAAAAGAAGCAAATCATTTGGGAAAAGGGACTGCAAATTAAGAGCAGGTCTCCAATTGAAGCACA